TTTTATAAAATATAATAATAATAATCATAATAAAAAAGTGGGTTTCATTGAAAATGCTTTCGTGTAAAACAAATAGAGCTGTTTGGGAAATTAAAGTAGCAGTTGTAGTAACAGGTACAAGCAAACGTACCAAAGACAAGTAATGGAGATCTACAATCGATTAATATCAATAAAGACTTAATTCAAGATAAATTGTAAATGAACCAATCATGTTGGACGGTCTCAAATACAAACAAATCACAATTTCTTCGATTTCCACTCCCTTTGTAAACATCACCATTATATGAGCTTAAGTCAGGCGTTATTCTGTTCATGAGAGATAACTTGTTGATAAAACTGCAAGTATATGAAATGAACAATTGTTTTCATATTTTAATTTGGATATATCAACAAAGTTGAAATGGTAAATTGGCAACCGTAACGATTACAAAAGCTGACGTTTCGAATGTTGTATTTTTTTTTTTTTTTGATTTGTTTTTTTTTTTTTTTTTTTTTTCATTCATTTTTTAGTTATAGTTGAAGTCGCTTCACAATGGGAATTAGGGGGTGTGAATTAAAGATAGATTCGCACTTACAAGAGATTGGTGGGACATGACCATCATCCGAAAGATTCTCAAAAACTGGTTTAAAAAGACTCTGCCTCCTTTAACCAATACAGTATTGATATGGTTGGGGGAGGACTTGCACATAAACTGGTATCAGAAGGCCGGACACAGTAGAGAACTAAGTTCTAGTAGTAGAGGGAACTAATTGATTGAATGAAAGAACCAACAAATGGACGAATGGATGAATGAATGAATGAATGAATGAATGAAAGAATGAATGAATGGGCGAATCGATGAATGAGCGAATAAACGGATCTGTAATAAGTGCATGAGTAAACGAATGAAAGAATGGGTGAGTGAATGAATGAATGAATGAATGTATGGATGGATGAATAAATGAATGAGTGGAAGGTAGGACAAAAGTAATTCCCGCTTATTAAAAGAGCACACGAGGCAACTAGGTTTTGTCTTCCCATCTATTTTCATCAGCAAGAGACCTGTTTCCTTTTGTCTTTTTATCGTTCGCTTTCGGTCATATAAGATGCAGGTGTTGATTGTTCTTTATTTGTTTTTTTGTCTGTGAGCGGGTGCAAGAATTGTCTTTATTAGCAAGAAAGATTACTTTAATAAAAAGGCATCAGTCTCGTGGTTCTTCTTCACAGCCCCTCCAAGAATTTCTTTCCTATTTTTCCCATACACTTTTTGGTTTGGGAGATCACGCCACCGTTATGCTCAGCTTCCCCCCAAAAAAGAAAAAAGAAAAAAAAAACAATGGCATGTTAGAGAAACAGAATGAACCACTTGTCATGCGAAGCTTTTGCCTTCATCATTAGCTGAAATTAGACTCAGTGTACGTGCCTGTATGCAATGGACACCAAATGGCTACTTTGCATAAATTCACGCCATGCCATAGCTGCGTGATACTAAATTTAAATAGTTGTCATTCCGATTTGGTCTCAAAGAGTGTGGATTCCGTATGCATTTCGTTTAGGTTGTGCAACTTTTTACTGTATCATCTGAGATTTGAAAGAATCAACGTTTTCCTGGCAAATTTAGAATATGCAGTGTTGATCATGACTGAGACAGTAAAATGACTTGGATATAGGGTCAGTTAGCTGTCAGTTTACATGAGGAGATAAGATCGCGCAATCAGCAAATATCTAGTCATCGCAAAGCAAATTTCTTGAGCAAATTCAGCTCTAGCGTCCCCTTTTAGAGATAAACTGCAATGTGCCATTAAAAATCCATGAATATGGAGGGAAATGAAGTGCAAAAAAATTAAATTAAAACTGAATGGAGACGTGAAATGTAATTGAATATCCCCTCAGGCAAATTAGACTTCTATTTTTTTTTTTTCTTCGTTCCAGTTCGACTTCAAGGTGCGTAAACCAGGAAATGGTCTAGATATGTTGTAATATTGGCATACAGTTATCTTCCATAGCGATCTATCAAATAAAACATGCCATTCTTGGAATTTCAATGGCCGTTGACGTGCGATTTTCACATAATCCAACAATTATTTTATTGCCGCAATATAGTCACGCCCAAGGTTACAAGTGACGTCAGCCAGGATTTGTCACGTGATCCTCGACTACCACATTTATAAAAACAATCATTCACACGATGTGGAGTTTAGTACGATTATTTTGTCTGAGTGTAACAGTGACATTCGCCGGTATTCTTGCTGGTAAATTCCACCAGTGTTCGAATCCCTTACTTAGAGGAAAATGGATGTCTTCAACCTAAATCGAAACATCCAGTTAACCAGGGTAAGTCTTTTGTCAAGGTCGATGACAGTGTCGGAACAGAACAGAGACCAATTAACAAATTTTAGACAAGTATCAGGAAAGAATTACCTTGTTTTCCGGATAATTTTGCCTACCTTAATTTCTTTTACATATCTTTAAATAATATTAACGAATGCAAACCTAAATTTTCGATCAATTCAGCCAAGATTGAAGGCTTCGCTGTATATAATTGTTATGGGTTTTTTTTTTTTTCGTAAAATTAGCTACACAACTGAACTAAACAGCGTGAACTCGATAGTGTATTTCAGTTTAAAATTTACTCTTTTGTCTATCCTTAGATAAAGAATTTTCTACTGGACAACGTAGGATATCAAGAATTTCTATCGCAATGTTCAACGGTTGTAAATCCAGTGCAGCCTTCTGGCATCGATTCTCCAGCGGAGGGCTCTTCACAAATGGCTGCCCTGCAAAGACTACCAAACTATCTTCAAGAAGGTGAGATATTAAAGTTTATTTTAAAATTTGTTTGCCGCTGTTGGCGTAACTGTTCCTATTCAATTCTTTTAAACAAATTCCTGATTCGTGGTATCTTCGCGTGACCGTCATTAGATAGATTCGGTCTTCGAACTAAAGTCACGCGACGTTTTCAAGAAATTGTCTAGTTTGGATTAAAAATTTTCAGATAGAATGCTTGTCAAATATCTTATGAGGGCTTGAAGATCCAAGGCCAAAATATCATTTTCCACAGCTCTGTATGGGCCTAGCGCAAAGTAAAATTAGTCGATTGTGAAAGTAATGACATCATAATGATGTAAATAAATGAAGTGGCGGAAAGTGTGGTCGAACGCTGAAATACGTAGTTACAGCGTTATACAGTAAAGGCCGGTTTTATGGCACTGGTAATCATTTACCCAGATAGAAAAATTCCAAAACTACACGGTTATGTGTTTAACGCACGATGACTTTAAGGATATCGAGCCTCCTTTTACATAAATTTTTGTTACAGCTAACCGGGTGTGAAATTTAAGTTCTGTGTATATTATGTTTCGCAATATTTACGCGCATCACTTGCCTTATCGGGTCGTGCTTTGATTGTCTTCATTCATCTCCCAAATATTGCGAAACAAATGTTTGGACAAGAATAAGCATCCTGCCGATTGATTGATATGTAAAATGTCTGATTTAAAATTAGCCAAAGGTTGTAAAATTCCCAGAAAGAGTAACAGGTCCTACGATTAGGTTAAGACAGGAGTTGAAATTTAGACAATAAAAAATGTAACAATATCCCAAATTTTGAAACATTTACCAGGTAACTTGTGTAGTCTTCCAGTTTATTTTTATGCTATATTTATTTGGGTAAAAATTCTCTATTCGGGAGATCTGCTCCTTCGATAATAATAATAATAATAATAATAATAATAATAATAAAACATCTGTGAGATTTCTGAATAGCCTATACCCCATATGTATGTACCTGTGAACTGAATTTTCGATTACATTGTTCTTCATTTCAGAAAGTACAGAAAATAGGGCAGCAAGCAACAAGCATAGTGCAAGAAAAAGAAATCGAGGCCCAAAACCAAAGAAAATGTATGACGGTAAGTTGACATTCGCGAGTTTGCTTTAGCTAAGGCCTTACAGGTTGAGATGTTTTTCTTCCTTCCCTTGAAGAAATAAAACTACAAAATACAACCATGTTGAAAATCTTGCAAGGATTAAGAGGAACACACGTATGAAAAATATGATGAGATTCCCTTGGGTTAGTGACTGAATGTTAATACTCAGGAGTACGGGTATGTGTTGATATCAATAACCCGTCAAGTAAACAATATTCTGGTAAAGGGGTGGGATAACTCGTTTTGATACCCTTGGGGGGATTAGTCATTAACATCCGTCCATAGGGGTCAAATGTTATGGTCAGCGATAGAAGATTCTGTATATTCCCAAGTTTGGGCCCTACTAAGAATTCTCAATTCTTTCTTCAGGCAACGGTCCAATTCAGCTGTGGCAACTTATTTTGTCGGAGCTCATTTCGTCATCATCAGAGCCCCTTGTGGAATGGACTAAGAAAGAGAAGTACGAATTTCGCATTTTGCAGCCTGATAAACTGGCGGCCCTGTGGGGAGAGCAGAAGAAAAAGACTAATATGAATTTTGCAAAGCTTGCGCGAGGTTTGAGGTATTACTACGGAAAGTCCATTTTGGAGAAGGTTCGTGGCCAACAGTTTACATATCAGTTTGTTATGGACATTGACGCCATTCTCGCGAACGATTCTGATGGCGAAGCTTCTGAAGGTGGAGGCAGGGGCACGCCCGATGTTTACTGTGAAGCACCGAGAACTTTCAAGCAAGGGAAGGGGTGTGGCGAAACAGAGACACAAGTCACTGACACAGGGGTGGGTAGATATGGGGGTGTATGGGAGGACCTAGGATGCCCTGTAGAGGCATTGAGGGACACAGGGGGTGCTGAACAGGGAATTGTTAACATTGAGGGAATTGTGCAGAATGCAGGAGAAACATTTGATTGTACAAGGGAAGATTTTAGGCTCCCTATGGGGATATCATGGGACACTGGGGGAGAAAGGGAGGGTGCTCTAGGCACAAAGGAGGTAGATAGGAACTTAGGGGAAGCTTTTGAGGACACAGGGAAAGGGAAGTTGAGAAAATTTTGGGGCCATGAGAATACCGGGATGGGATGTGATATCACAGAGAGAGATTTTGGAATTGTACCAGTGGGACTTGAAGGCATCTCTGAGGGGTGCGGGATCATTAAAGGGGGACTGGGGGAGATAAAGTCATTCGATTTAAGTGTTCTTGTTGAATCCAATGACACAAGTAGCTTCTATGAAGCATTATAAGTATGTCTTGTATCAAGCATAGTTTACTTTCTGTTCCTACTTACCTCTTGTTTCAAGAGACTATTTAATTACTAAATTATAGACATGTGTCTTTGGTTAACTCTTAAAGAGTTAGAGTAGCATTTGTTGCATCTCCATAAACATCATATTACCAGAACCAATATTAAATTATCTCAGTTTGCAAAAATGTTCTTTCAATAGTCTAAATGCCAGGAAAATTTGTTTTCTACACCAAGAAGTTAAAAAAAATGAACAAGTACTGACAAATCTTGTTTGTCACACGTTAGATCTCTTTAAATTTCTATCTGTCTTAAGGCAAATAGCTTTTTTAATTCACTTAGAGAAAGAAAAATCGCCATTTCATATTTGTACATTTAAAATTTACAGGAATATTTTATATTCAATATGTAAATATGTACATATTTTATTTATATTGCTACAAAGTGGTGGGCTCTAAATTTTGTGTGTAATGTCAAATTGTGCCTAATCATTTGAATGCAAAAAGGAAACTTAGATACAGGAAAAATATTGATTTATTGAATCAGTCTTATGAAAAACAACCAAACAAGTTTGAATAAGGTAATTTAGCAATCATAAGTCTTAATGAGCTTTCTTTCCTCTTTAATGTGATCCATGCATAAATTTTATTGCTTCTGACTTTAGGTATTAGAGTTCAATCTAAATCAAGCATTTTCAATGAAATTTTTGTATGTGCACAATAATTGTTCTTAGATACTTATAAGATCTATACTTATTGCTTATTGTAAATGGTAAAAGATGCAATTAAAGAAATTTTAATTTGTTGTTTTATACTCATTATCTTCTCTTTTACTGAAACATTTTCTTACGAAAAACATCTTTTTTTTAAATTCCAAAATTCAGACATCACAATGTTGCAGGAGTCTAGTGGCGGGGGGGGGGGAGGTGGCCAAGATTAAGAAGGTAACGCCTTCCCCCTATTGCCAGTGTCAAAGAGAATGTCCTGTCTGAAGTGCAGATATCTACTACCTACTTTCTCAGATATTTTTACAGCTGCGGAAGGCTAAGGAGAAAAAGAAATTTGTACCAGGGGGTATAAGCGACGGTCGAAAGAAAGGAGAGGGAGGGGGTGAGTTATTCTTGCCTTCCCCACCCTATCCCCCAAATGCAATCTACCCTTAACAAACATAGCCGGTCAAATGAACGATCGCGAGCTTGTGTCATCAGCTCGCCCTAATGATACGCCTGCACTGTAAGCTAGTGATCATTTACCTTGTTCGTCTCCTGACCGCAGCTGATGATGCTCGAGAAATATATGTAGATGATTGATGTTCAGAACGTTCACAAGGAGATCATTTCTGAATCTGATGGAACAAGATTAAGTGCACGAAATGGAATAGGCGTCTCATTCACAGCAGAGCAATCATCTTTGCCAATTTTAAATAATACCATCGGTTTTGTAAAGATATTCGTGTGTATGTAGATGATTTGTTTGGCATATTCGTGTGTATGTAAAAATAGTGTTGGGTTTGTTCGAGGGATCGGATCTGGGATTAAAAATACTGTTCGAGTGCTATCTTCCTCATTACTTCTCCTTCGTTTCTCTATTCTCCATATGGATGACGATACAGGTTACTTGCTGTGATCTATGCTCCGGTTATATATGTCGTGCAAAGATTCTAACTGTCTACCCCATTTCTAGTTTGCTTGACTTATCAAGTTGGCCTTTGATGTAAGATAATATATGGTGTCCCGTTTGCCATTTGGCGCGGTTTTCATTCGCAGTCCAGTATATCTTCGGATTTGTTTGCGCTACGGAGCCCTCAGCACTTTTGTTCCCACCAAAGTTCTTCTCGTAAGGTAAGTAGAAAGATCTATATCTTGAAGTATTATTAATGTTCTAATGGAAAGGATTCGGTGAAGGCGCTCTATAATACTTCAATCTGTGCTAAAATCAATACTTTTGCCGTTTAAAAGAGCGAGCTTTTTGCCTGACCCTTAGTGGGTTTCTAGTCGCTTTAATTATTTACTCCCAGCTCAGTCTTAGATTACTTTTGTCCCGATAAATTACTGGCTATTCTCACATAGTAAAGGTTTTGTCTCCATTCCTTGGACACAAACTTCGAATCTGCGGCCGCTTTCTGACCTTTTTACACTGATCAAACCTTATATCTAACCAGACGGCTGTTAACCTTACAGGTCATAAGCTTCTGATCTGACCTAAAGCTCGTTACATGGCCAGAGATCGAAGACGTAATTATACAATAAATATCCCATAAACCGCGTGAATAACATCCCTTTTCTTTGAGCCGTAAGGAAACATCGTCGAGTCACGCATTGATATAGAGACAATTCTAAAAAAAAAAATTCTAAGAAAAAGCCCATATTTCTCCAGAATAATTCAGCCTGCGGCAGTGAAATTAAGAGGTGAGGGCAGTCATGGGATTATTTTATAGCTGGCAGAGCCCTTGGGCAATATTGAGCCAATCCTGTGTTGTGATTGTCTTAGTAAGCAGGCAAGATGGGCTTTTCTTTCCCACACAGGATTGCCCAGTTTGATCCTATGCAATAAGAAAAAAATTGTGGGAATAACAAAGTATGTAATTTTTCGGCAATGTCAGCGATGTTGCAAAAAGCAACAGATGAAGTCAAAACAAAGGAAACATTTAGGAGTCATTTGGGTTTATTATTTGGTTTATAGACTTTGAAAAAGCTTTTGACTCTATCCACCGAGAAAGTCTGTGGGTGATAATGGCCAAGTATGGAATCCCGGAGAAGATCGTGAAAATGGTAAGAGTATTTTATGACGACTTCAACTGTGCTGTAGAAGACCAGGGGGAAACATGTGAGTGGTTTGACATTAAAACTAGTGTAAAACAAGGATGTAATATGTCAGGATTTTTGTTCTTGATTGTTATGGATTGGGTAATGCAAAGAGCAGTTGGCAGTGGTGAAAATGGTATTAGGTGGAAGTTTACATCAAAACTGGATGACCTGGACTTTGCGTATGATATAGTCCTGCTCTCATCTACCAAGCAGCAGATTCAGGATAAAACAACAAGGCTGGATGAAGAGGCCAGACAGGTGGGACTCAAAATCAACAAAGAATAGACAAAAGCGATGAGGATCAATGCAAAGAACCAAGAAAAGATCATAATCAATGGACAGGATATTGAAGATGTCGATGAGTTCGTATACTTGGGGGCCAAAGTTTGTAGAGAGTTTGTTAAAGCCAGAGGTGCCTTTAACAAACTAAGGAAGATCTGGATCTCTAATAACATCTTGAAGAAAACAAAACTGAGGCTGTATAAAACTCTAGTAGTGCCAGTGTTACTCTATGGATCTGAGACATGAAAGATGAACAAAGGAGATGATAAAGCAGTGAATGTATTCCATAATAGGTGCCTACGAAAGATCCTCCGAATCCGATGGCAAGACGATGTCAGCACCAAAGAGCTACTGGAAAGGGCAGGCATGAAGCCACTGAGTGCGGAAGTGATGTCTCGTAGATGGAAAATGATTGGTCATATTCTTAGGAAAGATCGTAATAATGATTGCAATGTTGCTATGAGCTGGGCGCCAGAAGGTAAAAGGAGAAGGGGAAGACCAAAAACCACTTGGAGACGTACAGTTGAGAAAGAAAGGCAAGAGGCAGGTTGGAGGTCAAGGGAGGAGGTGTAGACAGCAGCAACCAATCGAGAGGAGTGGAAAAGCTCTGTGAAGGCCCTATGTGCTACGGGGCATGAAAAGGATTGATGATGATGATGATGATGGGTTTATTGTGCTACAAACACAGTTGGCTCTCCAAATAAACAAGTCAATTTTTATTAATATTAAAAACGGTCAGTGTAAAACACAGACTGCGGACTGCAGACTGGAGGTAAAATGCAGACTGAGGGTAAAATGCAGACTGAGGGTAAAATGTAGACTCAGGGTAAAATGCAGACTGCAGACCAGGGGTAAAATGCAGACTGAGGGTAAAACAAAATATTAATAATAAAAAACAAGACTTGGGAGTGTTCCTACTCGTACCCGCAATTTTTTTTTTCAAAATCCCAGAAACTCAAACCAAATGGCATTTATTCGCCTTAGTCAAACATATTATGAACCTCGAGTTCTTGAACTCCCCATTTTTGTTGAACCAAGTTTCCCAAAAGTGCCCAAACTGATTGTAATACTATGCATCTTACCTTTGTTTACATGTCGGGTATTTTGAATTGTGCTTTCGTGAATCGGTCAGTGTAAAACGTAGACTGCGGACTGCCGACTGCAGACTGCGGACTGCAGACTTCGGACTGCAGACTGGGGGTAAAATGCAGACTGAGGGTAAAATGAAGACTGCAGACTGCAGACCAGGGTTAAAATGCAGACTGAGGGTAAAATAAAATTATATCAATAATAAAAAACAAGACTTGGGAGTGTTCCTACCCACACCCGTAATTGTTTTTTTTCAAAATCCCAAAAACTCAAACCAAAAGGTGTTTATTCACCTTAGTCAAACATATTATCAACCTCGAGTTCTTGAACTCCACATTTTGTTGAACCAAGTTTCCCAAAAGCACCCAAACTGATCGTAATGCAATGCATCTTACCTTTGTTTACATATCCGCCATTTTGAATTGTACTTTCGCAAATAGGTCTGGGACCGAGTAACTCTTCCAGCGTTCAAATTCTTCATATGGCCTTCGGTTGGAATTGTTTGGAAGACAAGGCAAGCAAAACACGACAGCACAACAACAAGGCAAGGTATACTTGTAGGTATCAAGCATAGTTTGTGAAAGACATTAACGCAAATTATTGAAAATTACCATGAGATCATCGTCATCGTTTTCCAACATTTTATAGTGCCATGTGACTTGGGGACAACGTGACTTTTGTACTGCATGAAGCAGCCTTTGTGTGTCTCGTGAGTCCTGACATGACATTATTTTACGGGTACGAACACTCCTTATTTCATCCTTAAGACTCGTTTTTTTTATTATTAATATTTTACCCTCAGTCTGCATTTTACCCCTGGTTTGCAGTCTGCAGTCTGCATTTTACCCCCGGTCTGCAGTCCGCAGTCTGAGTTTTACACCGACCAATATTAAAACCAAGTCTTTTTGCTACAGGATAAAAATCCTCTATCAACCAAGCTTGGTTGGTCAAAAAGCTGGATATTGGCATCAGTCTCTGTTAGGACTCAGACAAAGTCAAGGTCCATAAAAATGCCAAAAAAGAACTTGGGCAATCTCCATCCATCTGGACCTCAAGCTTGATGAATGATGCACATTATCCAACTATACTCAGTAGTGTACAAATAATGCCCAAAACAAGTATAAGTATCACATGGTATTTGTACTCCAGAGAACCAGTTAGACAGGTTTTCTTGCATCGTGCAAGTGACAAATTGGATTGAAGTTATGAAAAAAAATGGCAGACAACTAAAATATTAATACAAATTTATTAGATAAATTGAACAAAGAAAAACAGCTGGATGACAATGGAATTTTATCATTTATTGAAGAAAAGACAGAGCCAATTTCATCCTGCTTGGCATACCTCTGTCATATAGTCCCCATAAATAAATAACCACAAAATTCACCCACACTGAACTAATGATTTGGCATGTACGTTGGGTAATAAATGACTTATTTGTCATTTTGTTGTGTAGTATCGCTGAGTATTTTTACTCGTTATTTGTATTTTGACTCGGCCTACAGGCTCATCAAAAATATAGCACAACCTATAAAATTACTCAGTGATACTACACGACAAAACATCTAATAATTAATAATAATCTAATATTAATTTATTGCTACTGTCCCTGGCATAGGAGTAGCAACCCTCTACA